ATCAGAATCTTAATCAAATAGCTCAGAATAATGTACAAATTATATACATAACAAATCATTTACAACCAAATTAAGTGAAAAATAAAAATCAGAAGAAGTGTAGATGTGTATGTCCGATGAGGCGAAGCCAAGAATTGAGATGTTGAGTGAGAACGGCCGAGAAGGCTGGTTGTGAGGACGACGACGCCAAAGTTAGAGAGAGAAAAGAAAGAGAGGCGTGGTGGGGGTTTGAGTGTTTTGAGGGAATAAAGTGAAATATTAGAGTTTGGTAACTTTTGACTTTTGTTAGATGTAAGTTTTTTTACGGTGGTTTTCATCATACATCGGATCGGATATCCGATATCCGACTTTTTTCGGATATCCGAAATCAAATATTAAAATATCCGATATTCATAATTTTCGGATCGGATCATCGGATTTTCGGATTTTCAGATAGTTTTGCTCAGCCCCTGTTGCCAATCTATTGGCCACAATTATTATCCACATTTTTATTGTTAAAAAAAATAGATGTATCCCCTAATGTCTTTTCATGAATTTAAAAATTAATTGATTAATAACCATAGATTGTGTATCTATACTAAATGAAAACTGTCCAGCATGTGTAGTATGTATATAAATCGCAAAATTTTAGAGTTGATGATATAAATTCTACAGTCCTACTACTTGTAAGACTGATGGAGATTGTATGCCGCTTTGAGAAACAATAACACTTGATGCTTTGGTACGACTGATATTTAATCTTGTAAAATGGTTATTAGAAGGTTAAAAAACAAGAAGAAGAAACATGTTAGCGCTTATCCGGTGATAATGAGCTGCTATTGGATCTTCTTTCTCCAAATATGTTCAATTTATTTGTTATTATCTTAGGTGGACATTAACACTTTGTATCATAATGTTTAATCACTATGTATGTTACTCAGAAGTCATATTAAATTGTTTACTAATGTTTTCAACTTTACCTCTCTCTAGTTATTATGAGTGACAAATTGCATATACGTGTAGTGTGACAGGGAACACATTTCTTTGCTCCTCTTCTTCTTCTTCCCAAGTTTGCATCAATGGAAAGAATCCTGAAAATGGTAGTGTTCTCTCTCTCTCTCTCTCTCTCTCATTGATTTAATTGTGTAACCTAATCTTTTTCAGACACAAGTCATACAGCTATCTCAAAATCAAGTCATCATCATCGATGGGAAGTCCCAGTGGCTGTTGGTGTTGGCTGCACATTTGTGATTTTGATATTGCTGATAATTGGATGGGTCCACTACTACAAGTCCCGTCTTCTCATGACATCATATGGTATTCTCTGAAGCTAAAGTCTTTTTTTCTTTTTTCTGTTTTTTTTTTTTAAAAAAATTGTTTATAGTTTATGAGTGTTTATATGATGATAACTATGGTGTGAAAGCCTCTAATTATTGGAATATGCAGTACAGCAAGACTATGAATTCAGTATTGGTCATGTAAAGAGGTTCTCGTTTCGTGAACTTCAAGCAGCTACAGGAAACTTCAATCCCAAAAACATACTAGGAAAGGGTGGTTTTGGAGTAGTCTATAAAGGTTGTCTACCAAACAAGACTATGATAGCAGTTAAAAGGCTGAAAGACCCCAGTTTCACTGGTGAAGTACAATTTCAAACAGAAGTGGAGATGATTGGTTTAGCTTTACATCGGAACCTTCTGCGTTTATATGGATTTTGTATGACACCTAATGAGAGATTGCTCATATATCCTTACATGCCAAATGGAAGTGTTGCTGATCGGTTGAGAGGTTGGTCAAATGGTTTGCTTTATATATTTGTTACATGGACTTGAGTTCGAGCATAATCTTCAATAAGGTTACTTGTCAGTTGTTAAAGTTTCAGAATCTTCCACTTATGAAATTTAACATGTTTTTGTCCTAAATTGATACCAAAAATTGATCATACTTGAGTATAATTGTCAGATTTCCAACAAAGATATGCATATGAAATGACAAATGCATGTATATGTGTCTTTGTTCATTTGTGTATGAAGTACAAAGTCTACAAAGCTGTAACAGTAATCTCTGACTCTGTGATGTGGATCTGCTTTCTAGTTTGCTCATTTCTTTTCATGAGAAAACTTGCATATCCAATGCTTAATAGCTTAATATGTAAGTTCTCTTACCATCAGATGCATTTTGAATAAGTCTAGGAAAATGGGTGCATTCTTACTGTTAATGATATATATCATGTATATCTTTTCAGACCCATGTGGGGATAGGCCTACTTTAGATTGGAGCAAGCGCTTGCATATTGCTCAGGGAACTGCCCGTGGACTCTTGTACTTACATGAGCAGTGCAATCCAAAAATTATTCATAGGGATGTGAAAGCTGCTAACATCTTGCTTGATGAGAGTTTTGAAGCTGTTGTGGGAGATTTTGGCCTTGCAAAGCTTTTGGACAGGAGGGATTCTCATGTCACTACTGCTGTGCGTGGTACTGTTGGTCATATTGCCCGGAGTATCTTTCAACTGGACAATCCTCGGATAAGACTGATGTCTTTGGATTCGGCGTTCTACTTTTGGAACTTGTTACAGGGCAAAAGACAGTAGATGCTGGCAAAGGTCAGGCTCAGAAGGGAATTATGTTTGACTGGGTAAGTTACGTCCGCTTTACAATTTAGATCATTTTATTTCCATTTACATTATATATGCTTTTTTTTTTTTTTTTTTTTTTTTTTTTTTTTTATGGAAAGTAAGTTATTTTTTCCCCTTCTAGAGTAATTTACTAAGCCATCATTGGACTTGGAAGTCCATGGAAAGTGAGAAAAGTAGGGAAGAGGATAAGGAAGGGATTCACATGTATACAACTCCCTATATCCTCCACCCCTTTTCCAATGGCCTGGCTTGCAAAGCTGGGTTGAGTTGATGTGCTGCTCAGTAGTATTCTTCTTTTCACTTCTTTGCCCCTTCTCTATAGATGAAGGCATTATATGAAGAGAAGAAGTTGGACGTGCTTGTGGACAGGGATCTAAAGGGATGTTTCAACGCTGATGAGCTAGAGAAAATGGTGGAATTGGCTCTTCGGTGCACTCAAGCTAATCCTAGTCTCAGGCCAAAGATGTCTGAGGTTTTGAAGATTTTAGAAAGTATTGCAGGGCAGTCTGTACATGGAGATGAATTGCATGCCAGAAGCTCTCTTCCGGAGGAACGATCTTGTATTACCAGTTTCTCTAGGAATTACAGTGATATTAACGAGGAACATTCCTTTGTTTTCGAAGATATTGAACTATCTGGCCCTAGATGATTCCTATTGTAGTTATTGTATGTATGGCTGTGCAATGATTTTGTAAATTGCTTCTTGTCTCTGAGTAAAAGTTCACATTTGATTCCAAATCATTCATCAAGAAATTGAATTAAAAGGCCATAATAATCATTTACCAAGTAGTTGAATTTACTATTTCCATCTTGCCACAAAATGAGATTTACTTAAATTCTGAAGGTAGTTTATTTTATTGGAGAGTTTAAATTGAATATCAAGCACTTAAACAAAGCTCGTTGGCTGTATGCTCCCAACTTTCCACCACGCCTCCCGCATATCCATGCCCCCCCTACAAGGGCTACAACAGTCGTTGGCCATGGCTACGGACAATTGCCATCCATTCCTAAATACTTGCAGCAATTTGATTTTAAATGCATTTTTTACTACTTAATTGAAAAAAATGCTACTATACTCGCAGTATATTGTAAGATTAATATCAATTTATTATTTTTTCTTAAATTTTGTTAAAGCATGATTGATTGATTGTATATTATAATAGTCAAACGTGTGCATTAGCACGTGTGTTATTCAAATTGTTGCAATTTTAAGAGCATAATATTTTTCATAATTTGGTAGAGACCAAAAGTGAGGAGAGAAACAGTAACTATTGTGGTGGGATTTTGCCTTATTTAGAGTATGACATGTTGTACTGTGAGTCTGCGATTAAACATTGTGTGAAAATAATGCAAAATTCTACTCCCTCCGTTAATTTTTATTTGTAACTTTGGAGTGTTTTGCGGTTCACGAGGCAAAACTTAAGGGGCAAATATTAGAGGAAGTAAATGAAGGTAATTAAAGTGATAGGAAAGAGAAAGTTGACCCACCCACTTGCAAAAAAGGTGGGGAAAATGTGGCAGATTTGGAGGGATTTGATTTTCCCCCAAATTTTCACCAGAAATTCGATTTGGCTGAATTTTTGGTGAAAATTTGGGTTCCCTCCTTAATTTCAAAAAAATTCAGAAGACTTTCAAATTTTTTTAATAAATTGAACCCTTCATTGACCATTTAAGAGGCATTTACATACAAGCCTCCACCATTCATACACATTCAACAGTTTTTTGTCTTAGGGTTTCTACAAAAACAGAAATCTGTCCATCTAAAAGTTAGCACTATTTACTAATTACACATTGTCAGCCCATTAAATACCAAAAAAAAAACCCATAATTTGAAATTAGTGCTGCACATTAAATACCCAAAGAACTTCATAAGCAGCTGCATCTCCTTGTTCCTTCATCTCCTCCACAAAAAAACAGCAGTCACCCCTACATCATTAAGCTGAAGCTAGAAAAAAAAAAACAGCTCAGACATCCATGGCAGAATTTTTTGATGCTATGTATTTCGATGTTGATCAAATTCTAACAGAAGAACAACTGGCAGAATTGTATTATGACCATGCAGAAAATATGCAAGATCTAGGCTTGGATGACTACGAATCTGAAGATGAGAGCATGCAAGACACACAAGGAGAAGAACATGGCCAGCAAAACACACAAGACACACAAGCTGAGGTTGGTTCCCCAGAAATGGAACAACCAATTCAACATGGGACTCAACATACACAAAGAAAGTAGCTCACCATGCAACAGAAAAGAGAAATTGTGAACTCAATGTTGGTCAAAATGCAGCAAGGGAACTTACCAAGAGGTCACTTAAAGAATTTATCAGTTCAATTCAATATCCACAAATCAACCATCACAAGAATTTTCACAGACATAAAAAAAAGATGGCACAGGGGAATTTGATTGATGTCAGGACCAAGAAGTATGGCAGAGTAGGTAGAAAGCCAAAGGAATTTTCTGATGAATTCCTACAATCAGTCCCTTTGCATTTAAGGCAGACAGAAAGGAGTTATGCAGCAACATTAAATATCTCTCATGTGACTCTTCACAATTTGAAGAAAAAGGGAAGGTTAAGAACACACACAAGTAGCAACAAGCCAGCATTGACATCAGACCACAAGGTAGCAAGACTGAAATGGATTTTGTCACACATAAATCCAGTAACAAGTAATGAGGAACCCACATTTGTTGATATGAACCATGTCATACACATGGATGAGAAATGGTTCTATCTGAACCCTGACAAGAGGAGGTTTTATCTCCTACCTAGTGAGGAAGATCCATACAGGGCAATACAGTCCAAAAGATTCAAGCTCAAGGCAATGTTTATGGGCTTAATTGGGAAGCCATTGTATGACACAAATGGGGAACTAATCCATGATGGGAAGTATGGCATGTTCCCATTCACTGTCAAACAACTAGCAAAGAAATCCAGTAAAAACAGAGTAGCAGGAACTTGGGAAACAAAGGCAATCCAGAATGTAAACAGAGAAGTAATTAGAGATATGTTGCTGACAAATGTCATACCAGCAATTATCTCAAAGTGGCCTGAGAGTCTAGCAAAAAATGTTGTGATCCAATGGGACAATGCAAGGCCTCACCAAGTTCCTAAGGATGCAGAGTTTATGGCAGCAACAACAGCACATGGATTCAACATTCAATTTGTTTTTCAGCCAGCACAGTCCCTAGATTTGAATGTGCTTGATTTAGGGTTATTTAGGTCTATTCAATCTTTGCAATATCAGTCTTTTCCTAGCAACCTAGATGAGCTAGTTACAAAAGTGAAGGACTCCTATGAGACATTCAATCATCAAGTGAACAAGTACATTTGGCTGAGTTTACAAAAGTGCAGAGATCCTCAAGGCAGAAGGTGGGAATAAGTACAAAATACCCCACATGAACAAGAAAACACTTGAAAATCTTGGCATTCTGCCAAATCAAGTAGAAGTGCAGAAGGAAGTAGTTATGGAGGCTGTGGAGTACCTAAACACTATGTTTTGTAAATCAAGGGACTGAACAAGGAACAGAAGATATGGAGGTAGATGCAGACTAGGGGACTCATCACAACAATGGAGAAACACATGGACTGCCACACATAACCACTTAGCTATGTTATGGTTTGTTTTGTTTTTTTTTTTTCCTGTTTTTTATTCAGTTATTAGGTGGTTAGGTGTATTTTGTTAAATATAGTGATCAAACATGTTAGGCAGTCTTATGTATAGTCCTTTTGTACCCACATTTTGAATGGAATAGAAATGGAAAAGAATCAGATGTTATGTGGGCACTCAATCCATCAGAAGTTTTGTTTCCCATATTTGAATAAAACACCAACTCACAAGGTTACCTCAACAACAACATTAAGCAAATTGTTGCAGCAAAACACTTGTGTGTTGTGAAAGTCAATAGAGTCTCTTCCTCATTTGGATTTGGATAATATAAACAACACAGAAACATGGGGGACTCAATACAAATCATGCTACAACAGATATTCAAAGGGGACTCCTTTAAGAAATGTGTGAACACAATAAGGGACTGTCATGTGTTCTCTACCCAAATGATCATTGAGAACACTTTAAGGTATGACCATGCCAACTTTAAAAAATAAATGACACAGCAGCCTCATCATTCATCAATCAAACCCCCATATGCACCAAATGTCATATTCCAACAAGCCAACATATCACAAAATAATCTCCAAAACAGCAAACATAGCCAACCATCCAACAGATCAGACAATCAGAAATAAGCAATGAAGCCAACATAGTCCAAAACAGCAAACGTAGCCAACCATCCAACAACTTAGACAATCAGAAATAAGCAATGAAGCCAACATAGTCCAAAACAGCAAACATAGCCAACCATACAAAAGATCAGACAATCACAAATAAGCAACGAAGCCAACATGAATCCAGATCAAATCAGCAATAACCAACGAAGCCAACATGCATCCACATCAAATCAGAAATAACCAACGAAGCCAACTAGCAACCAAATTAAATCAACATATTATCGAAAAAATCAAAGGAGAGGGACTCAAATAAAAAAATGAAATACTGTAGGGTTAGGAATCGTTACGCAAGAGTCACTTGGAGGGTTGAACCCTTGGGTTCATCCGCCTCGCATAGTGCTTCTTCAAAGGAGGGCCAACCACTTCACCATCGTCACCATTTTCATCCTCATCATCAGAAGACAGAACGATCATCTCCTTATCTGGCAACCCACGCATCCGCCTCATAGCCACCAACGCCGCCTTCCTTCTAGCCCTAATCTTTGTGGGTGGCCTTGCCCTGTTAGATCTGGGCTTAGTGATAGGCCGTCGACAAGCCTACCAAAGATAATGATTCCTATCTTGGTCTCACTAACAATAGTAAGGGTAAGAAAGGGTCGAACCCAAGAGAGGCGTTGAATCAACCACCGAGTACTACCGTTTAAATAAGCTAAATGAATTCTAAATTGGGTTGGTTTTGAGTAACTTCTTCTAATTCAACTCAACTAAAGCTAAGAGGAGATTAACAATATTAAGAGGAATCTAGGGCTCGGGTTATACCACTCAACTTCATCACAAATCACAATTATCATGCTACAATCAAGGTAAATTAATGGGACAAATTAGGGGAAGTCATCTAAAGCACCCAACTACTCTCTCAAGCTAGAGGGATTACTTGAATCGTGAATACAACCTACTCTCGTGGTTACATAGCATAAAACAAGTGTTAAAGCATAATCACGATGACATAAACATTCCCTTGACCGGTAATCCCTATTCTCATGGCATTTCGGGTCAATTAAGCATAAGGGAGCTAACTCAAGTTCATCTCTCGATCCTTCGTTGAGAAAGCTTGGATAAATAGTTCTAGCAATGGCCATATACAAGAACTAAGCAATTAAACCACTTAAGCTCAACTAATCATCATCCCACAACAACCAAATTAGCACATGCAACAAGTAATTAGTGACTACATTGAGGGTTTTACCCAAACCCTAGAATTTAGACTACTCACAATCCATGGAGGTTAAAGCAATTAGAGGTTTCAAGCAATTCATGAACAAGTTCAAACTAAGGATTAAGCTAATTAACAATCTAAGCATGCAAGAATTAAGCAAGTAATCAACAACAAAGTAAAGAGAAGTAGAAAAGATGAGTAAGAAATGGTTACTATGAAGCTTCAAAGTGAGCAACAATGGTGGATTTTGTCTTCTACAATGATTGAATTTGAATGCTTCCAAGCTAAAAATTAAGAACTAATGATTTGAGAATTTAATGTTCTAAGACTACAAACTAAGAGGAAAGCTCTAAAAAAACTGCATCCCCCGTACAAATGAGCTCTAAAGGGGTATTTATATGACCCCCAAATAAAAAGGACGAAGAAAACAAGGAAGAAGTTCGACTGCAGGTCTGCACGGACGTGCCAGATTTGGCACGGACGTGCAAGGCTAAGCACGGCCGTGCCAAGTTTGGTACGGACGTGCAGGAGGGCCAAAATGGAGGCAGAGGCTTCTGCCAAGGTCTGCACGGACGTGCAGCTTTTGGCACGGACGTGCTATCATCTTGCACGTCCGTGCAGGATGCCCTGCCTAGACTGCTTAACTTTGGGAAGCTGTAACTTCTACGTTTCCTGTCGGAAGTGGACTTGTGACCAGTCGTTGGAAAGCTCTTGAGACGAACTTTAATCTCCAATTTGAATCGCTTCAAAAGGTTGATAATATCAAAAGTTATGGTTGGTTGAAGTTGACGCTTACGCAAACGACCTTTCAAGGTTCTCCAAAAGCTTTTCATTTCCCTTTAAGGCATTCCTCCTTCTTCCTCCATGGCTCTATCAACCAATCTTGCCCTTATCCTTGCTCACTCATGCTTGATCATGTCCATAGTGCTACAAATAGCTACATTACATCAAAAACACAAACAACCGGTGAAGCATGGATGGTACAAAATTTGCATAAAAATAGGATAAAAAATGAACTTTGATGTCGATTAATAACAAAAACAAGGTTCAAAAGTACCCTAAAATCATGCCAAATAACAAGTTATCACTTAGTGATGGGCACAGAACTCCCCTCACCATTGTCACACACTAGATCTACAAATACACCACTGAAATCAAGCGCTTTTTTGCCACGGGACTCTCCCTCTCCCTCACCCTCAGCCCTCTTGAGACGCTCCTCCTCCTCGACGCTTTCAAGAACCTTACCCAAAGCCTTGTAGGTGGTTAACGAATAGTAATGACCAGCCTCACCTGACTCGTAAAATTGGCGAGGAAAAGAAGATCCAGTGTCGAAAGATTGAATCAGAGACACAATCAAATTACCCTCACCGACGTCGTCGGTGGCAATGGAAGCGTCGTGAAGTGGATCTAGGTTAATCATGTTGTTGGGGGACTCGGTTTTTGCAAGATTTGAGGTCTCAAGGTCAGATTTGAGGTCTCAAGGTCAGATTTGAGGAGGAAGATTGGAGAAAATTATAGACGAACAGGAGAGAGAAAGACGAAGAACAAGAACTAGGGTTCTGAGGAACTCTCCATATGATAAAAGGAAGCCCAGACATCATCAATTAATTTTTGGTGGTTGGGAATGTGAGTGATGAGAGTGGTTGGGGGAAATGAGGTAATAAATGGAGGGAGAGATTAGATTAGGTTAAATCAGATTAATTGTACATAATTTTGATTAAAGTAAAATAAGGGTAAAATTATAAAAATCAGAATTTTTAAGTAAGGGTAAATATGTAATTTCTGGAGTTTTTGTTGACTAAAACTAGAAAGAAAATAGAAAGTTGCACATAATGTTTAGCGGACTAAAATAGTAAAAGTTGCAAATAAAAATTAACGGAGGGAGTATATGTTGTGAATAAAAATTAAAGAAAAAGTAGAAATATTTTTTTTGTTTTTTTGGGTGTGTAAAATAGAAAGGGTACCTTTTTTTTTTTTTTTTTTGAAGGGAAATAGAAAGGGTACTTAAGAGTACCTTAATAATGCAAACAGAAGAAGTAAATCAATAAATGACAATTAAGGTCCCATCAAGAAGATGATAATTTTAAATGTCAGATGAATAAATGGACTGACAATCATAGATATTCCAAAAACAAAAAAACACGAGTATTAATCATAGAGTAAGTTGCTTTCTATTTGCTCACCACAATTTCAAAATCCTATATTATGGTTGATCTTAGGCCTCATACCTTAGCAACTAATATACCTATCAAATAAATTTGCACCTAAATATTTATGAACTAAAACAAAGTCAACGACATCCAAAATTTAATATAAGTAAATATGTAAATAACAAACACGTAACATGTGATCATCTACAAGACTACAATGGATAGTTACATTTCTTGTAGCTTTGGGTTGCCATATTATTATTTTCCAAACTACATCATTTAATAAGCTATAACGTTCACAATGACAAGCTATTACCTTTTGCAAAATAAAAAAAAAATATTCACAAACTATTTATTCATTCAAAGTGGACAACACATGCTTTGGGTGAAATGAAACTGCATAGCTCTACAAAGCTATGTAGTTTCACCTAAAATATTTTATACACACTTGGGTGTACCGTGCACCAAACTAGCCCAAAGAGTTTTTGCTCTTCATTTGATGATTAAATGAAACACAATCATCAAAATGAGAATAAAATGCTCATGGGTGTACCGTGCACCCGAGTATATATAACAATCTCAAAAGCTACAAGCCTACAACCCTTGTAACTCTACAATGGTGTGCTAGCTACTAGCTCCAAGTATTTCAAATTGCAAGCAAGAATCTATTTACAACCATTGTGGGTGCTCAGGCAATTGCCCAGTATAATATTTCCAAATTCCCATAAATTAACAAAATAGGTTAGCTCTATTTGATTCATACAACTATCTACTATATTGTAAGAA